TCATGCTGAATGCATGCCAACTATGCAAAGTAAATAAAATTATACTACTTAAGAATGTAGTTGCCTGTAAAAATGAATTCTTCATATGACTTTCTTCCATTGTATTGTATGGGGTGCTGTGACTGACCATGTCTGACCTCAGCGGAGGGTCATTGGTGCCTCGGTGGGAGTCGAGGCCACACAGAAAATATTACTGTTTCAGAAAACATCTACATTACGTTTTGATTTAAAGGGGGACTTGGGTGGCCCCGTGGACAGGGTGATGGGACAGGATCAGTTGAACCCTGGCTCCCTGAATCAAGGGTTACAAAAGAAGTGGAAAACATCTACGACCTGTGTCATTTGTTTGAATTCTTTTCCACTTTAAGTTGACATGCAGTGATATGAATGAGTCCATCTTCCTGAGGCAAGGGAGTTAGCTAACTATGAAAGTCCAGTTTCCATCCTTGCCAAACTAGCCTGCAATTATGGTTTTGGTATGTTGTTTAACGCCGCACTCAGCAATTTTCCAGCTATATGATGGCGGTCTGTAAATAATCGAGTCTGAACCAGACAATCCAGTGATTGATATCATGCGCATCGATCCTTGCAATGTTGGATCGATGACATGCATCAACCAAGTCAGCGAGCCTGACCACCCGATCCTGTTAGTCGCCTTTTACGACAAGCTTAGTCGCCTTTTACGGCAAGCATGGGTTGCTGAAGATGTATTCTACCCCGGATCTTCACGGGTCCCTGCAATTATGGAGTTATATTTAGTTATATATTGGCTGGACTAATAAGTCTATGCATAATCCAATCAAACATCGAGTTCGTTAACTGCCATGCAGATTTTGGTCAATAGCAGGATTTGCAATGCATGTGTACCGCTAAGTCAGTGTCAACAAATATTTTCCAAATCTTTTCGTGCTTTTAACCAAGGTGCTCATGTGATTTGGTGTACTTCGCGAGGTAAGACCTGTTTTATCAAAATGAAGATTTTTATTATCAACCAGTTTGTCTTGACTTGGTGCCGCCATTCGTTTGAAGCATAATGCAAGTGATATGAGAGGTGGAATCTAATTGGTCAATGGGACGGACATAGAAGGGATATAACTTGTAATAGCCACTGCGACCAAGCCCAGAAATTCCAGCCGAGTTCGGCAAGGGTGGAAACTGGACTTTCACAGTCAGTTAACTCCCTTGTCTTGGGAAGATGGATTGAGTGCTGTACCAAACAACATTAAACCAAGCATTAAACCCAGTATGAAACCCAGTTCCCGTACTCATTTAAATACTGAAATCAACACAAGTAGTAGCCTGGATATTTGACCAAGTCAGAGCATATATTACTTGAATTTTGTGAATTATTATTTCCAGTAGATTTTCGCATTGGTCATTTGTCAAAAATAGACAAAGCTACCATATTTTCTTGGTTGGTTGGTTGGTTTGTTGTTTAACGCCGCACTCAGCAATATTCCAGCTATATGACGGCGGTCTGTAAATAATCGAGTCTGGGCCAGACAATCTAGTGATTGATATCATGAGCATCGATCCATGGAATTGGGATCGATGACATGCATCAACCAAGTCAGCGAGCCTGACCACCCGATCCCGTTAGTCGCCTTTTACGACAAGCATAGTCGCCTTTTACGGCAAGCTGAAGACCTATTCTACCCTGGAATCTTCATGGGCTTCATATTTTCTTGAGTATAGTGTGCACCCCATTCTAGCGGATTCAGTATTTTGGAGAAAAAAAAATTGAATGTCAAGCACAGAAACAAAATACACCGTAGATCTACCCCTTCAGCGAATTCCGGTAGCGGGTGATGAGAAACTTGGTCAGTACAAATTTAAAATTTGAGATAAAAAATCACCAGACATGTTTATTTACCGTTTAAATTGTATTTTTTGTTCTGCTAGGCATTGTTTTACATCCAGGGATTAAGATTACCTTGTGTATTTTCTCGTAAACTAAGCCAGAAACAGCAATCAGCTGTACACACGTTTTCTTGGAATCTACCAGTGATTCGATCAAGACACACCCAATGATATAGTATATATGGTATGGAAGTAAGGCCATTTTCCTAATACAAGTTGGGAATCAGTTTTTAACTCAAAGACTCTGAAAAGCATGGCTTTTATTGTAAGCATGTAGCAAGCAGCAACCAAAGGATGCAAAATGTTTCTCCAAGGTTATTTCAGATAAGGATTTCAAATTCCACAAATACAATTCACCACCACTCACTCATTCAGTCATTAACTCAACCAGTGACAAACTCATCAACTCACTAACCCACTCATTCACTCACCATCCCAACATTGATATGCACAGAGTGAGTGAGTGAATGAGTGAGTGAGTGAGGGTGTACTTCAATTTGACCAATATTCATTGCATCAGACACAGGGGCAGGCTTCATGCATAGTAGCCATTTGGCAGTGTTTAAAATACCCACCTGCCCGACAGTCCGAGACAGTCTATTTTGCTGGAGGACCGTCAGTTTTGAAAAGTTGCATGCCCGATTGTCAGGCTATTATTGTATTTGCTAAACTACCTAAGCATTCTAGTTTTAATTCAATGTAATAGGTAAATCAACTGTTAATGCTTAACACATTATTGATGCATAAAATGACAATGAGTTAAAGTTACAATGTTGACAATCTACCTTCATTTTTTTGAGAACTGACATTGATCAGTTCTATTCTTATGTTTACCTTTTTGTTTCTTGTGTTCATTGGTCTAAAAGATTCTGGACTGGTCTGGTTGTCTGACTGAAATTTCAGGGAATTTTATACACTGCATTTGGCATTAAACTTTTGTCTTTGACGTGACTGTGTAAAATGCTTTAACCACTAGGCTACCCAATTTACAGATACTGTAAAACGTGAAATTAATGCGTCTCCAAAAAAATGCAACCACTGGCCCCTAGCCAAAAATGTGACTCAATATGAATGTCACACCCCCTCCTCTCAAGCATCAGCGGATTTCTATCTAAACAAAATGTCCTCTGTCAGGTTTACAGGAGAATCCTCACCTTAATCCAACCTTACATTAATCCAATCACACACTAAATAGCACCGCTTATTAGCCCTGAGTAGAGTACTTCAGCTAAGACAATACGTGCGCGCTGGCTCGTGTCGGCCTTTGATGCAGTCGCAAAGAGCAAAGACACTGTGTTGGGTGGCGTCTGTCTGGACTTGCAGGTGTGATCAGTGATGACATGAGTGAGTAGAACGCTTGTCTTGACTCCAGCAGTTACAATTCACAGGATGTAATTAGTGTTTGAATGACATTGTTTATATACTTGTAACACGTGCTGCTCAATAAACAGTGATGTGGAATACATAGTTGTTGTTTTCAGCGTATGTCTAAGTTGGTATTTCTGCTATCCAAAATTTCTTATTGTTGATATAAATGCGATGTTTAATAATGCGAGCAAAGACCACTCGCATTTTTTGCATTTCATTCACGCTCGCGTTAATATCAAGATTTACAGTAGTCAGATCAAAGAACATCAGACACCCTTTACAGAGAGTCAAGTCAAAGAACATCAGACACCCTTTACAGATAGTCTGGTCAAAGAACATCAGACACCCTTTACAGATAGTCAGGTCAAAGAACATCAGACACCCTTTACAGATAGTCAGGTCAAAGAACATCAGAGACCCTTTACAGGTAGTCAGGTCAAAGAACATCAGACACCCTTTACAGATGGTCAGGTCAAAGAACACCAGACACCTTTAACAGATAGTCAGGTCAAAGAACACCAGACACCTTTAACAGATAGTCAAGTCAAAGAACACCAGACACCCTTTACAGATAGTCAAGTCAAAGAACATCAGACACCCTTTACAGATAGTCAGGTCAAAGAACATCAGACACCCTTTACAGATAGTCAGGTCAAAGAACATCAGACACCCTTAACAGATAGTCAGGTCAAAGAACATCAGACACCCTTAACAGATAGTCAAGTCAAAGAAGATCAGATACCCTTAACAGATGGTCAGGTCAAAGAACATCAGACACCCTTAACAGATAGTCAGGTCAAAGAACATCAGACACCCTTAACAGATAGTCAGGTCAAAGAACATCAGACACCCTTAAGAGATAGTCAGGTCAAAGAACATCAGACACCCTTTACAGATAGTCAGGTCAAAGAACATCAGACACCCTTTACAGATAGTCAGGTCAAAGAACATCAGAGACCCTTTACAGGTAGTCAGGTCAAGAGCAGTTTGTGCGATTAAGAGTAGGTTACAGAACAGTTTAATAAAAGTAGCAAAACCCTTTTCATATTCAATAGAAATCTCTGCTAAAAGCAGAGTCGATTGTACAATTCCAACTATACCATGAGCATACCAGGTGTTCACGAAAAGATGAACATATCATGCCCGACTGGTGGCTCCCATCATAAACACATGCAAAGGCAAGTCAATTGTTCACTAGAAAAAACACGGGAACATGTGGTACATGTCAAAATAGGGAATTGCATCAGTCTTCATTTTTGTCACTGATGCGTCAAATTCGGAAAAGTCCTCTACATGTCTACCATAAAACCCTTTCAAAGCTTTACTGAAGCCTTGAATGTTGTAACCTTGATCAAACAACGTCTGAGCAAGAGTCGTATGATGTTCTTTGAAATCTTGGAAGAAAGAGCTTGATTGTATCGTAAAAGTTGTGAACTGTAAACATCAAAAGGCTGGAGCTGCTGGAATATTGCACGACATGAAGGGAAAGTTGACTATTGGAACCCATGTAGAGAATCAAACCAAGGCTCTCAGTAAGACAAGTGAACACTGTAACCGCTAGGCCACCCAACCAAGCTTTTTTATGTTAAGAATATAATTCAAAATCCCCTAAACATGCATAGCTAACAATAGGAGGGAAACAAAATGAATGACTGTCTCTGTCCTCGAAACAAATAATCAGTTTCAAACACCCTCAGCATCTGTGGCCATGTTGACATTTGCCTTCCGTAATGATGACCATCTGGGCCGTCTGCTGTTAGATTTGCTCCAATCTCTGGCGGCCATTTTGAGTGATACCCAAAGACCCCACTAGGGAACACTGTTCTCTACTGGGTGGTCATGAAGTCTGGCTCAGTAAGCCGACCACACTTGACGGCGTAACGTGTCCATCGCCGCTCCTGACTCTCCGCTTTATTTGGCTGGACACAGGTAAGTGGACTCTGATTCTTCAACACAGTTAAACTAAATATTAATTCTATTTCTAAAATCTATTACTAAAAGCAATTGCTTTGACAATGAAGACAAATTATCTTTAAAATTTTATTATTTTAAATTATTCTTTAAAATTTGTCAAACATAAAGTTATATGATGATATTTGTGATTCTCCAACATCTTATTTAGACATGTAGGAATAAACCATGATGGATTTCTCTGTCACAATCAATTTTTTCAAACCGTTTTCATTACATAATTAGAAATAATTCTGTATCAGTTCACAGACAATCTTTCCTAAACAGAGAGTTTCATTGTTAGAATAAATCCTAACATTAAAAAGTCCGAAAAGTTTTTTCTCAAAAATACCTTTTGGCACCACTACGCACTTGAGTTTATTAACTCAGCATGCACCATATCCTCAGGCTGTTTACCACACAATTACCGCTTGTCGCTATTCAATTTTAAGAAGACGAAAAAAGTACTAAATACCTTTTTCTTCAAATATTTATCCAAATTTCATATGTAACAACTTAAGTCATATCCTACCATGGGTTTTCAATAACCATACATGCACTACAACCTAAAAATAGAATCTCACATGTGGGCAAGGACTAATGGCTGTCACATGTTTCACACTGAAACAAGAGCCCTGTGTTTTCTCCTGCAAATGTTTAGGCTTTGTCAAGCCTGAAATCCCCAATTGCTAAAAGTATTTCATGTGAATATTTAATGCAAAGATTAAAATCAAATCAGATATGCCTGAACATTTAAAAATTCAAGAAATTTAATTTCTTCGTAACACAACAAAATGTCAAAGAATTTAAATATTACAAACTGTTTGGTTTAGAGGAAATGCTGGGATAATAATGAAAAAAGCAAGGCTTGAACATATTGAAATACAAACTATATTTTTATTACTACCGTATTCGACGTAATATGCGTCCAGGGCGCTCTCAAAATTAAAAATAGGGGGCTCGGAGTTATTAGAATATTATTTTGGTGAGATCAAAAAACAGAGTTGAAAGATAAATTTCGAGGTTAATGCTTACAGCCTGAAATGTTTATGTACGACAGATATTTTTTTCCAGAATTTAATTGCCAATAATTAAGGGTGCATATAACACATGAGTGCGAATGAATAAGTCTTGTGTACATTGATCAATCGGAAGGGTGCTAATTGGGATTGTTCACTTTCCAATATATTAGCAAATATGGGTGTGGGCGCTTATTAGAGCGGGGCGCTTATTACGTCAAATACGGTATATTAAATACTTGGTATTAACATAACAAACCTGGACGTATCCAGTATTGCTTTAGCACAACAATAAGTTTCACGCATCTTGTTATTCATACATGTTATTCATACCACCATGTCAGAATAATGAGATCTGATTGGTCCATGAGATCTTGATAAAATACTATCTATCCCGCCTTAGAGGGAAATAGATTTCTCAGAAGGAGAATAAATCCCTTATACCCCACCATGAACAAGACAGGGTGCACATGGCTTTCTGAGAGGCAGATTAAATCCCTTATACCCACTTCAAAGCAAAACGCTGCATGATCTTTTTGAGTCAATGAAAGTCACGTGACAGCACAGGCTAACCTAAGCTCAATCAAACAGCTGTTTTCTATCAGTTTTGAATTTGTTATAATTCTTCTACTATGTCATATTGAACTATGTTGGTAAGATAAATTTGTTGGTAACAGGATCATGCAAGGTACAATGAGTTTCATGCATACCTTGTTACGTTTTATACCGCCGACTCCCGATTGTTGTATAGAATATACCCATGTAACCCTGGTCCTGCTAGACCGCCTCAGTGATCTAGTGCTAGAGAGTCCGCCCGGAGAGCGGAAGGTCCGGTGTTCGATCCCCGACTGCGTCATACCAAAAGACATTAAAAGATGGTACTTGTTGTTACCCTGTCTGGCGCTCGGCATTAAGGGGCTTAAACAAGGACTGGTCGGCTCAGAGTCAGTATACTGTGTCTGAGTGGGGTATTCATGTTAAACTGGGGCATGGTATCTCAGTGAGCTAGCACTATTAATCGGCATCAGCCCGGACTAGTACAAGCAGCCACACAAACACACACACGTGCATGCACGTCGCTTTATATCTTGGACGCGACGTTAAACCCCATTTCACCTCACCCCATGGTCCTGCTAAAACTTACTTGAAGCCTTCAAGTTGAAGGTGCCTAAATAACTCTCCATTTCTCTCCATAACTCCAAAAGCATGTAGGAATCATTACTACAGTAGAACACGGATATAGCGAACAAACGGATACAACGAACTGTTAAAAAATCCCCGATTTATCTGCTATATAATATCATATAAAATTTACGTATATAACAAACTCTCTACAGTGAACTAATAGATACAGCGAACTGATATCTGATCACCGACAAGCTCATCTACCACTAATTAGTGACGTGCATAGCGAACTGAGAAATCTCACTCAGTGTCAAGTGTCACTGACAATTGGCAAACAGTGGTGAATCAACACAACCGCAGGGATTCAATACAATCAGCGGTGACGGATCAACCTTGCTAGATTTTGTACATTTTGTACATGTATTTGGTAAATAATGTTCGAAAAATGTTATGCATTTAATTTTATTAAATGAATGTTATAAAATGTTATCAATTGAATGCTATGAAGTGATCACTGCTAATACAAGTCAATGCAATTATGTGCATTGTGTTTTGTTTTTTCCAAGATGGCGGACATATGCGAGTAAAACGTGTATAACGAATAACGGATATAACGAACTCTGGTCCCTTGTAGTTCATTATATTCATGTTCTACTGTATTTACTGTATTCATATGCTGCAATTACGTGTATTGTGTTTTGTTTTATCCAAGATGGCGGACATTTGCGGGGCAAAAATGTGTATAAACTGATTTCTCTGGTCCCTTATCGTTCGTTATATCCATGTATACTGAGGGGCAGTTATCAGGGAAAGGATGCAGAATGTGGAACTAAGGGGATCTAAAGTATAGAACACTCTAATTACATTCTGCCGGCAGTCGAAGCATTTGGTGATGAAGACATAACATCTCAGATAAGCCCCAAAAGTCATCAGCAACATCTTGGATTAACAAAGATTCATTACTGCTAGAGGACTAACTAGAATACAAGATTCTAAAATGACACGGTAGAATTTTCCTAAAACTGCAAACCCCACTTCACAGATAAAATGAATGTCAGTTATTTCTCAATCAATATCAGTCTATTTGTCAACCGATATCAGTTATTTTATCAACCAGTATCAGTTATTTGACAGTCAATATCAGTTTATTTGTTCACTAGAGTTTACTTACAATCCATTAACTTCTTTCAGTGGCATTTAGAAGTTGGTCTGATGAAGTAAGACAAGTTCTATGGATGAACAACTTCTTTATTACAATTAGTGCGACATTTCGGTGTAGATCCTAACAAGTTTATCAAGCAAGTGATGGATAGCGCTAAACAACATAGGTATATATACTTATTAACGTCAATGTTTATACAGTAAATTGATTGATGGAAACAGAGAGCTGATTAAGATAATTGGAAGCCAGTGGATTAATTGGATGGACAGAGGGATTTAGCAATGAGTTGATGGTAAGCAGGCGGGATGTAGTAGCCTTGATCTATGTTCATTGCTGGCCGGATCCTTTTGATGTAAATGGCTTCTAGGAGTTTCCTGATTTTGTATTGATTGTTGGCCAGGATCTTGATGTTGTTCCACTGGATGTTGTGGTCGGGGTGGGTTGGGTGTGGTCAGAAACGGCTGATTTTGAGTCATTTTTTTTGTACTGAGGTACAAAAAAAAAGATCAATAGATGGCTTCTAGGAGTTTTCTGATTTTGTAGTCTGACTGATTGTTGGCCAGGATCTTGATGTTGTTCCACTGGATGGTTGTGGTCGGGGTGGGTTTGGGTGTGGTCGGAAATGGCTGATTTGACTCATTTTTTGGTACTGAGGTCTTGTGTTCTTTTATTCTAATGGGTAGGGGCCTGGATGTTTCCCCTACATTGGAGTCGCCACAGTCACATCGTATGTGATATCAATCCATTGTTGAGCTTTGAATCAAGTCCATATGGCCTAGCTAATAAATTGTGCAGCACAATCATTGCCTTCTAATTGTCTGGTTTGTTTACGTGCCACCATCGCATGGCAGGAGTACTGCTGTGTGGCATCAGATGCCAAACATATTTTTACACAAATTGGGTATGTGGTGCTACCAGTAAGGCAGGACATGCTTAGGATATTTATCAGATAATCCCGCATGTAGCTGTGGCCATCACACTGAAGATGCACTTCACTTCTTTCTCATATGCCCAAATTACAATGATTTAAGACAGAATATGTACTATTATGTTAAGGGATATGATCTAAATTCAATTCTATTAGGTAATCCTGAAAGGACATAAAAAATAAACTCAGAAATTCTTAAATCAGTACAAGACTACACTCAGCTATCCAATAGGTTTTGTGATTTTACATAGCATCTTAAATGTATAATACTATTCCTTGCCGTATATTGCAGTACACTATTACTACTAAAAATGAGACCTGACTGCGCCGACAACGTAGTTTCAACGTAGTTTCTATAATAAGAACATGTATACAATTGTATTCCTTGACTGTACTTTTGTCATATTATATTGTATTCTAATTCTGGAGCGGTATTCAAATAAGTTTTTGCTTGTTTACCAATCCAGTTCACAAGTTGTGAAACAAATATGTTTAAAACACATGCTTACTCTTACACAAACACCTGCAAGCTCCTTGCAGCGATAGCCTGTTCGCGGAGCTCTCTATACTATCGCTGCCACCAGTCAAAACTCCCCACTGTAATAGGTGGTCACAACCATGCTTGGAGTTGAACTCGCAACCAAATGACCATTATGTTTACAAACAAGTGACGACTGTCGTGACGCCGAATACACTTATCCCTGCTAAATTACTTTCTTTGTCAATTTGAATTTCTATTTCATTAAAACTATCATGTTATTGATATAGTAAGAATGTAAGGGAGAAGTTGGTTGATTTTCCGTTAGTCTGCAATCTTGAACCAATCTGATTATACAAACAACAAAGTAAATTCATCTGGAAAACATGGTCAGTCGTAAACATTTTCAAAATTCACTATAATGGCATTCCCAAACACGTAAACAAAAGTATGAATGTGACTACATTTGGGGTTAGAGGGCAAATTTCAAGATACTTGTAATGGCCGCGCCCACACTGGTGGCAGCGATGTAACCGAGAGTGTAACGAAGGTGTCACGCGCTGGGAAGGAGCTTGAAATACCTGGTGTCCTCATCACTGATTTTCAAAGATCCAGTCATGTAATTTTCACGTCTATTTTGCCTCCATAGACGCTTTCTGTAAGAATGTCTTCCCAAATTTAATGTCAGTGTATCGATAAGAAAGAGACATCCATTAAGCCAATGTCACAATAAATTATATGTGCTGATATTTCATCATTTCGTTGTTCAGGGCAATGCCACAGACAATCAGTGGAATGAAAAGTGAAAAAATAATATTTCTCGGTGATACACCAAATAATCTCTGATCTCACTCACTCACTCACTAACTCACTTATGAAGAGCCCCTTTAATCAGAGCATGTGAGCTATCCCAATGGTCCACACACCACTGTATCCATTTGATTAATTTCTTGAAAAATAAAACCTCTTAAAATAACGGTTTTAACACAAATTCAAAGACAGCAATGCATATATCTTTTTTCACTGCAATATTGATGGTATGCTCATATTATAAAATATAAACTGTCCTTGCCTCAACTACGGAAGCCTTTTAGGGCCATTTGTTTTTTTGTTTTTTCTTGAAATTTAAAGATACTAAGTTGAAATTTGAAGATGCATACTAATTTGAAATATAAAGATAATAAGTTGAAATTTTAAGATTATAACTTGAAATTTCAACACAGTATCTTGAAATTTCAAGATCATTATCTTGAAATTTCAACTTATTATGTATCTCGAAATTTCAAGAAAAAAAACAAAGGCCCTAAAAGGCTTCAGTACTAAACACTTAGCATCAGGTGAAGGTGAAATTGGCTTTAACGTCGCGTCCAAGATTATTGCATTTATATAGCGATGTGCATGCACATGTGTGTGTGTGGCTGCTTGTACTAGTCCGGACTGATGCTGATTTATAGTGCTAGCCCACTGAGATACCATGCCGCAGTTTAACATGAATACCCCACTCAGACACAGTATACTGACTCCGAGCCGACCAGTCCTTGTTTTAGTCCCTTAATGTCGAGCGCCAGACAGGGAAACAACAAGTACCATCTTTTAACGTCTTTTGGTATGACAGGGCCGGGGATCGAACCCTGGACCTTCTGCTCTCTGGGCTGATGCTCTACCACTAGACCACGGAGGCGGTCTACTTAGCATCAAACAATAGAAAATCATAAATCAATCAATCAAGAGAAATGTGAATTTTACATTTTGTTAATGATTAAATATATGTCTGGTTTATATCATAAAAACACTAGCTTCTCATCTGACAAGCAAACAATCAATTTTATATATGTGGCTTAATGTATACAGGACACTTTTTCTTGCTATCCATAAAAAAATGTAACGTATTCATGCCTATCAAAGACTTAATGTAGAAAGTGTCTTGCAGATATCTCAACTATCATCATGCGACTGTTGTTGTCGCTGTTGTTCCTGGGAGCAATGGCAGTGACAACGCTGGCCCAGGAGAACCAATGCACGACGAACAGCTTCCGGAGACTGCCACCAGCAATGCAGAATGAGCACATGTGCATGATCCTGGAGAGGATCCAGTTTGACACCACTCAGGACCGGGTCCAGAGAGACACGCAGATAAACAACCTGGTCAGGTACAGGAGCTTTACTCAGTCATACAGTGAGTGAGTGAGTGAGTGAGTATGGTTTTACGCCGCTTTTAGCAATGGTCCAGCAATATCACAGCGGGGGACACCAGAAATGGGATTCACACATTGCACCCATGTCGGGAATCGAACCCGGGTCTTCGGCGTGACGAGCGAACGCTTTAACCACTAGGCTACCCGACCGCCCCCTCAGTCATACAGACCCTGATACAAATATATCCAATACAGCACATGCAAGTCTATAATGTTTGGCAAGTCTAGATTACTTCAGTATCAGGGGGAGAGTCTCTGGGCTCCTTTTTATTATATTTTTATTTAGATAATTTAAAAACTTTTTTTTTTGTAAGATATGTTCATTTCAGTGAGTGAGTGAGTTGGGTTTAACGCCGCTTTTAACAGTATTCCAGTTATATCGCGGCGTGTCAGCTTAAAGTGGGAGGAAAGCCCGAAGTGATGCAGGTCTCAGACGTTTACCACTTCGGTGAAACCCACGAGCACGGGTATGGTGCTGACAAACCTAGAAACATAATCGGGGCGAACCAGGATTCGAACCCCCAGTCATAGGTTTCTGGCGTGCCCAAGGGACGCAACTCTGCACAGCGAATCACGACGCCTTAGACGACTGGGCCACCCGTGCCCCCTGTTCATTTCAGAGACTAGATGTTCGTCTACAGGAGCTTCTACATAACCACTTGTGCAAGGCCATGTATCTCTGTTGGAGGTAGAGTATCACCACAATGGCTATACTTGAGAGATATTGTTTTCATTTATCTTTCATTCAGTTTCTCATTAGGGTAGAAAAATGTGTACAATATTGAATGAATGACTACCGGTAAATACATCAGATATTCAGAACTAAATTACTTTTATGAACAAAATTTCCAACTGAGACTGACGTAGATGGCAGGAGATATCTTGTAGGTAAAAAAATGTGTACAATATTGAATGAATGACCACGGGTAAATACATCAGATATTCAGAACTAAATCACTTTTATGAACAAAATTGAGAGTGACATAGATGGCAGGAGATATCTTGTATGATAGAATCCCTACATGTGTTCTGCTCAGAGCACAATTTAATGATTTATTTTAACAATCCAGTCTGTTGATGAAAACAACAGCACGCCCATCGAGAACTTTCAAGAAGGTCGTAAGGTCACCAATCAAAAAAAATATTGTTGATGATGAAAACAAAAATGTACGGATCTAAATATTTGGAGTCGAAGAGCTAAACCTGTGAAAACAGTCGCAGTTCTTGGCAGGTGCTGCATGAAAATTGATGGCAGATTGATAGGGAAGATCTGTGTGCATGTAGGAAGTGTTGCAGTGAACAAATGTCACATCGACATGCCATGCACAAGTGTCGAAATAATAACTCAAATACCTCAAACCTTACAGTGTTTGAACCAGTATAAACATCATAGGGTCCTTTACATAACCACAATTTTGAAGTTGACAATATATATATTGTCATCCGTCAACTTCTAAGTATTGCATATCAAATTGATCACTGCAAAAGAAGGGCACCAAAATTTATCACAACAATGTGTGTGTGTTAGTGTGTTAGTGTGTTAGTGTGTGTGTGTGTGTGTGTGTGTGTGTGTGTTAGTGTGTGTGTTAGTGTGTGTGTGTTAGTGTGTGTTAGTGTGTGTGTGTTGGTGTGTGTTAGTGTGTGTGTGTGTGTGGTAATGAAAAATGGATTCATTCTATTTTTTCAAATGGAAAAAAAAGAAGTTTTAAATTGGAAATTTTTTTTGGAACTGGTCATTTATTATATGGAGGGCGTGGTGGGAGGGGGTGGTTGGGGGATTGTGTGTCCACAAACGGGATCGGTGGGGGGTGGGGGCATGGAAAATTGTTAAATATATTTGGAGGAGCCATGCAAACATGTTACATAAACTTGGGGGTCACCACAACATGATACAGTCCTAAGACCCTTCTCACACACATGCCTCCAAGGGTTTGGCTGAAAATGTAAACACTGGTGAGAGGGAATACCCCGCAGGCCGAAATTGAGGAAAAGTGATTCATCCAACACATAAACTGTCTGAATGAAAGAAAGAGCTGAAAGAATAAAAAACTTATCATATACCCAGGTACCTCAAAATGAAACAATAGCATGGTCATGGTATAAAATGAATTCAATGAAAGTAGGTGAGAGAAAGAGAGCAGCATGCACACAACTTAAATAAGTGACATGTAAGATTGAATACCCTTTCATCAGCTGCCCTGGTGGCTTAGTGGGAAAACAGCGAGTTACATTACTTAACCTGACATGTGAGGTTGCAGGTTCGATTCATGTAGCAAATCTTGACTATCAAACCAGTCAAGAATCAAGATTAGATGCATATTAATGGCTGTTGATATAATTCAGCTGCAAAAACCTAGGTCTTACAATTCAAATTAAAACTGCTCAGCAGGTGTCACTCACCTGAAGCTTCCACAAAAATGAAAGTCTGACAACAGGTTGTCTAGATATGTACAAGTACAAGAATCTGTACTTTACTCAGAAAGTCTTATCCTAGATATAACATTTGTTACATTTGACCACTTTCTAAATGGAATTGTTTGTTCATAGCTTTTGGCCATGGGAGCCGTGCCAATATACACTTGTTAGAGGGGTACACACAGTATCAGTTGTCAGACTTTTATTTTTGTGGTAGCCTTGGTGGCTGAGTGGGTTAGATTGCTGACTTTGTGTGCTGGTGATTAGGTGCCTCACTCTGGCAGTGTGGGTTTGAATCCCAGACAGGACTCAATCCCAAAAAGTACAAGAAAGTGTTGTCCCAAATATAACATTTGTTACATTTGACCATATTCCAAATGGCATTGTGTGTTCATAGGTTTCGGCCATGGGAGCCATGCCACTTGTCAGAAGGGTACACAAAGTACGTGATCCAGACCACCAGTTGTCAAGTACAAGAATCTCTACTTTACTAAGAAAGTGTTATCCCAGATATAACATATGTTCCAATATGTTTGCTTCCAGCATGGTGTCTCGACTGGAGGGCAAGTTGTCCCGTGACCTCAGCCGGATCTCCAACACTGTCAACCCCAAGGTCACTCGGGTCAGAGGTTTCCCTGCACTCAGTGACATCCCCGTAGCCAGAGGTAGGTTTCCATCTGTCACACTCGGGTCAGGGGTTTCCCTGCACTCAATGACATCCCCGTAGCCAGAGGTAGGTTTCCATCTGTCACACTCGGGTCAGAGGTTTCCCAGCACTCAGTGACATCCCCGTAGCCAGAGGTAGGTTTCCATCTGTCACACTCGGGTCAGAGGTTTCCCTGCACTCAGTGACATCAGAGGTTTCCCAGCACTCAGTGACATCCCCGTAGCCAGAGGTAGGTTTCCATCTGTCACACTCGGGTCAGAGGTTTCCCTGCACTCAGTGACATCCCCGTAGCCAGAGGTAGGTTTCCATCTGTCACACTCGGGTCAGAGGTTTCCCAGCACTCAGTGACATCCCCGTAGCCAGAGGTAGGTTTCCATCTGTCACACTCGGGTCAGGGGTTTCCCTGCACTCAGTGACATCCCCGTAGCCAGAGGTAGGTTTCCATCTGTCACACTCGGGTCAGGGGTTTCCCTGCACTCAGTGACATCCCAGTAGCCAGAGGTAGGTTTCCATCTGTCACACTCGGGTCAGGGGTTTCCCTGCACTCAGTGACATCCCCGTAGCCAGAGGTAGGTTTCCATCTGTCACACTCGGGTCAGGGGTTTCCCTGCACTCAGTGACATCCCCGTAGCCAGAGGTAGGTTTCCATCTGTCAGACTCGGGTCAGGGGTTTCCCTGCACTCAGTGACATCCCCGTAGCCAGAGGTAGGTTTCCATCTGTCACATTCAATCTGTCTCAATGGTCTCAATCTGTCTCAATGGTCTGTAATTTCTTAAGCCCGAAAATTAGATGACAATCTGTATTGTCTGTTGTATAAGATAATTTTACCGAAATACAACTTTGTAGAAATGCATTGTAACTATTATCATTGATATCATTGATAACATCTACATAAAATTTGGGGGTAAGAAATTTAGGCAAGAGGTAGGTATCCCCATGGGCACCAATTGTGTTTCTCCTTCTTACGGATCTGTTTCTTTACGCACATGAATCAGAATTTCTGTTCGGATTGGCAAAGTCAAAACAAGGTAATTCGGCTGAGAAGATTAACTTAAGCTTCAGGTATATGGATGATCTGATATCGTTCAATAACCATCAAATAGCCCATTTCCTTCCACTGATTTACCCACCTGAACTAGAAATAAAGGAGGCCATTGAGACGGCCTCACTTGTTTCATATTTAGATCTATGCATAAAGATTTAGAGTAACAATACACTCTCCACAAGACTGTATGACAAGAGCGATGACTTCAACTTTCCAATAGTCAACCTTCCCTTTATGCAGTGAGTGAGTGAGTTGGGTTTATCGCTGCTTGTAACAGTATTCCAGTTATATCACGGCGTGTCAGCTGAATGTGGGAGGAAAGCCCAAAGTGATGCAGGTCTCAGACGTTTACCACGGGTATGGTGCTGACAAACCTAGAAACATAATCGGGGCGAACCGGGATTCGAACCCACAATCATCGGTTTCTGGCATGCCTAAGGGACGCAACTCTGCACAGCAAATCGCGGCGCCTTAGACGACTGGGCCACCCGTGCCCCTCCTTTATGCAGAGCAATATTCTGAAGCTCCAGCCTTTGGTGTTTACATTTCGCAACTTTTGAGATGCAATCGAGCATGTTCTTTCTCCCAAGATTTCAAAGAGCGTCATACAACTCTTGCTCAGAAGTTGTTTGATCAAGGTTACATCATTCAAGGTCTCAGTAAAGCTTTCAAATTTTTTTATAGTAGCCATTTAGAGGACATTTGCAAATTTGACGCATCAGTGGCAAAAATGATGGCCGATGCAATTCCCTATTTTGACTTGTACCATATGTTTTTTCAGGTTAAAATATGATTTGACTTGTGTTTGTGTTGCATGTGTTTGTGATGGGTGCCACCGGTGGGGCAGGATACGCTCACCTTTTCGTGAACACCTGGTGTCATCACAATTTGATAGTGATTCATAAACAGATGCTCATGATAAAGTCAGAATTGTACAATCAGCTCTGCTTTATGCACAGATTTCTATTGGATATGGAAAGGTAGTCTGTCTTACAGACCCTGATACAAATATATATCAAATACAGCCCATGCAAGTCTATAATGTTTGGCAAGTCTAGATTACTGCAGTATCTGAAAATGAAGAGAGTCACTGGGCTCCCTTTTATTATATTTTTATTAAGGTAACTGAACAACTGTTTTTTCTGTATGATATGTTCATTTCAGAGACTAGATGTTAGTCTAATGGAAAGGGTTTTGTCGATTTATCACACAAATATCTTCACTGAAGTAAGTTGAGGTCAAACGTCTTAATGACGTCATAGCACAATTGTTTCCCAGCATCCATAATGTCTCTTTTCTCCTGGCAGGTCACAAATATTAATCTGAAATTGATAAATGTCTATTTTTCCTGTGACGACAGACTGTAACGAACTGAAGATGAGCGGTGTCAACATCAGTGGCATCTATCCTCTCAAACTGCCTAACAACTTCGTCGTCAATGCCTTCTGCGACATGGATACAACGACAGGCGGATGGACAGTCATACAGCGCCGTAGAGATGGAACGGTCAACTTCACACGCAAGTGGGACGACTACGCCTTCGGATTCGGCAACATCAACACCGAATTCTGGCTGGGTCTCGACAACATATATCACATGACGCGTAGCATGAACTACACGCTCAGGGTGGAGATCTGGGACTGGAACGACGACCACTACTACGCACTTTATGACTATTTCCGAGTTGGCCCCGAAGATGAGTTCTACCCATTGCATGTGTCCGGGTATGAAGGCACAGCTGGAGACTCCCTCGAGTATCACAACAAAATGCCATTCAGCACGCCTGACAAGGACAATGACCAATGGTGGACAAGCTGTGCCAACAAGGATCGATCGGGGTGGTGGTTTAAGGCGTGCCACTATTCCTCCCTCAATGGTGTGTTCTATAAGCGGGGCCAGAACAACGTCACGCCCGATGGTGTTATCAATGGTATCATCTGGTAGGTTGCTGGTTACAATGAGTGAGTGAGTGAGTTGGGTTTAACGCCGCTTTTAACAGTATTCCAGTTATATCGCGGCGTGTCAGCTTAATGTGGGAGGAAAGCCCGAAGTCATGCAGGTCTCAGACGTTTACGACTTCGGTGAAACCCACGAGCACGGGTATGGTGCTGACAAACCTAGAAACATAATCGGGGCAAATCAGGATTTGAACCCACAATCATAGGTTCCTGGCGTGCCCAAGGGACGCAACTCTGCACATCGAATCATGGCGCCTTAGACGACTGTGCCCCCTGATTGATACAAGGAGTGAGTGAGTGAGTGAGTGAGTGAGTGAGTTTGACGTGTCAGAAAAACATAAAGTGACAGTAGACAGGAAAGAGAATTTAACAAAATAGGGTTCTTGCCAATATGTAATATGATTATCTCAATATTTAGTATGACTATCTCAATATTTAGTATGACTATCTCAATAAGTTACCTGCAGCAGTACCTATCTGAAACTATCTGATGTACATTCCTTGTAACTAAACCAATGCCAGTATTTCAGTCTTTGGTAGAGAATATTATCTTACTTTTCCCAACTTTTTCTAACTATTCCCAGCACTTTCCAAAATTTAGCAAAAGAATAAGTGATCAGCGTGGTTCCACACTGGTTTACCAATATTCCAGGAATGTCATGTCAAGGAACACCAGGAATAGGCTTCACATGTGCCGATGGGGGGAATCGAACCCAAGCTTCAGCAGGACAAATAACACTGATATCAACACTTTAATCAATTCTGTTATCAAGTGTTCTTTTTATATAGTTGGTGGGTTGGTTGGTTTGTTGTTTAACGCCGCACTCGGCAATATTCCAGCTATATGACGGCGGTCTGTAATTAATCGAGTCTGGACCAGACAATCCAGTGATTGACATCATGAGCATCGATCCACCCAATTGGGATCGATGACATGCATCAACCAAGTCAGCGAGCCTGACCACCCGATCCCATTAGTCGCCTTTTACGACAAGCATAGTCACCTTTTACGGCAAGCATGGGTTGCTGAAGACCTATTCTACCCCGGATCTTCACGGGTCTCTTTTTATATAGGGGTCAAGCGTATATCTTTTTATATAGGGGTCAAGCGTGTGAGAATGGTTTTATAGCACCAATATTCCAAACATGGAGGCCATGTAGGGATCCGAACCTCAGTTCTTGGCTTAACAAGCGAACACTATAACCACTAGGCTACCCTTGGGCAAGTGACTTTGTTTGAAATGTGCCTTGCCCAGCAGTGAATGGGTACCCGGTAGGATGAGATGGCAATGTGGTTGTTAACCTTCTAGCTCCTAACAGGCAGCTTGGGCTGTATACTCCCCAGGGAGCTGAGAATGATTGTAATAATAGCACTTTGAGCATGCCCCTGTGTGGTGGGGAAATATGCACAATACAAATAGCCTATTATTATATAATACCCAACTGCCACTCAGTGGTGAATGACCCAGGTGACATGGCTGTAATTTTGTTGCAAAGCAACAGGAAGATTTTGGTCTGTCATACAAGCTGGTAATTTCTTAAACCAAAAATTATGTGATAGGCTATAGGTTTTATTTGCAATTGCCAGTATTAGGGACAGACGGAGCCCGTTTCTATATCCCCCTCCAACTTTGTTGGGCGAGGATATAGAAACGGGCTCCGTCCATCCATCTGTCCGTCACGTTTCGTTTCCGGAGCATGACTCAGAGACCGTTCAATATTTTTTCATGAAACTTTGCAGGTCTGTCAGGTACGTGCTGAACTGGTGCCTTTTGCTATTTGGAAATTTTAGAAATTTATATTTTTTGCATTTCCATGGCAACAAGATGGACTTAGGTTCCAAACTTTTTTACAATTTTCCGTGACAAGTTCCACCTCGGTTATAAAAGGTTAGGGTTTGTTTAGATTTAATTATGTCTGCAACAGGGGCGGAGGATATAGCCACGTTGGTGGCATAGTCTTGTTTTTGTTGTAAAGCACTCAATGTTGTTTTTCCATCCCTTATTCAGGTATCATCTGAAGAATGACAGATCGTACTCCCTGAAGAGTGTTGAGATGAAGATCAAGCCACGTGTCGCCATTATGGAGGATACAGCTAAGTTGGCGGCGGAGAACGCACGGTCAAAGAAGAAGAAGAGGAAGAATAAGAAGAACCGCGAAGTTTTTAACCCATACGAAGGTCTCGACGATGGCTCGTCTGGGGCAGTTGGCTGAACGCACACAGGTAGTGGTTGGTCAGTTTCAGGAGTGAAGGCAGGGGTCAAGGTCAGCTGGGTCAAGGTCAGTTGGTGTGGGACATAATAGCATCTATCAGTGAAAACTAATACAATATTTCACAAAGAATCATCCATCTGACATTTTCTAAAACGTTTACAAGAAGGAATATTTAAAGATCATGTCTTTAGAAATTTAGTGCTAAGTGGAGAGGGATTGGGGGGGGGGGGGGGGTTAATATGTTGTTTGGGCACATAGAAAAGGGGTACATAATTATCAGGTTTGAAAATTATGCAATCTCATTAAAATCAGATCTTAGTTCTCGCTATGGCTAAACAAAGATCTGAGGACATCCCATTAGGGGTCACGTCAGAATGACCTTTCATCTGACCAATCAGAGCGTCGCTTACCAGATCAGGAAAGTGACAGTCGGCATGTGATTTCTGATCATGCAACCTCGAAAAATTTAACCTGGGGTATTCCGAACGATAGTTACGGGCTTAACGACTGAATCCACTCAATCAAGACCATCTATTAGCCATTCAAGAATGTTCTTTTGTTCAGGTTTCAAATTTTGAATCTAGAATTTGCCCAAATATGTATAGAAGCATAGTGGCCAATTTGAAATTAGTGCCATAAAGCACGAGACAGCTGCCTTCTGACTGGCTAATATCGACTTCTTGTCAGTCATTCCATTGTTCGGTCAAAGTTCGCACAAGGTCGGTCTGACGTGACCCGTAATGGGGTGTACTCAGATCTTTGTTTAGAAGTAGAGAGAACTAAGACGTGATTTTAATGAGATTGGAAAATGATGCAGAATATGAGAGAACTTTTGTTTGGGGTAGTATTTCCATTTTATGAACAAATGTGACAATTATTAGAGTTACCGTATTTTCTTGAGTATAGTGCGCACCCATGTATAATGCGCACCCCAGTCAAGTCACCGTCAAGGCTCACGTGCACGGGATCACGGGATCGCGAGAATTTCATGTTGACATAGAATCGTCAAACAAAAACAAATATGACTTTTAACGAGTCAAAGTATGTCATTTATGATATATGTATCCATTCTCTCTCAAGTAAAGTTCGTTTCAAGGCATCAATAGCAGTATTCTGACCGTGGTTGCTGTTAATAATGGTGAGTTGTGCGATCTTCCGATCCCTTCACACACGATTTCACCGAAATTAATAAAAACAATATAAAAGGAATTTTGAATAAAATTAATGAAATAAGTTACAAACATAAGTCGAGATATACAAAGAACACTTTTTATAGCCAGACAGTGTAATTACATGACTAATTTGCGTACTTCAGTATGGATTTGTTGACATGGTATTTCCGGTGTTACGTGCTCACAGTAATGTCTTTCCATGGGGGAAAAAAACATCCAAACTCATAATTCGTGTATAATGCGCACCCACTTCTACACAGCTGTGTTTTTTTGAAAAAAAGTGTGCACTATACTCAAGAAAATACGGTACCTGGTGGTTAGCTTGTAAACTGACTCATGCCTTCTCTCCTATATTGATGTTATCTTTATGTGGCTTGTGTTGATAACTGTGTAGAGCCTGCTTGTCAAATGAAATGTCTGAAGACTCCCACTGAGAATATCCATGTTTACATATTTCACATGCAATTTATTTTTCGATGTATTATTGAGTGTGTACATTGATAGAGAGTTATTACTGATCTGCCAAACTTATGACAGCTGTTTCGAGGTATTCCCTGTACAGACACATTAATAAACTCTTGCAGTGAATCTTCATGTCATGATTTTATCACAAGCTTGAAAAGTCGGAAAATATTTCACTAAAGGGCCAGGCTTTTTTTTTTTTACTTTTAGGATTACGGATTTTTCAGCCTCAAGTCGAGGTTTGGAGGAGGGTAAAAAAATAAAAATGCCAGATGCATTTTTTTTAATGCAGAATACCTCTGGCATACTTTATGAACATATTCTGTGCTCAAAAGACCACCATTTGTGACGATAAAGCCCCTTGTGACAATAAATATTCTACCACTTACAACACGGACAATTGTCAAGGGAGGCTATTCATGTTCAGATTCGAGATGAACAAAGATTGATTATGTATCTCTTTACTAGTTTACAACGGTAAAATTCATATGTTTTTTATTAAAAGGTGATGATAATAAATAAAATAACTGACTATGCGGCCATTGGCGGGGAACAAAAATGGAAATTTGATTTATTTATTTTTACATTTCTAAAAAATTAGAGTCGGCAGGTCTGTAATCCGAAAACTATAAAACGCCTGGCCTGACTGGGGTTCTACACATTGATGAACAAACAGGGAATAAAGGCAATTCCTATCCTGTGTTGGTGTGTTTCAAACATCAAAACAATAATAATAATAATCCTTAGCATATAACCGCTATTACATCATTGCCATGATCCTGTATTTTGACTGCAACCACAGTGTAAATATATCTTCAGATTTTCAACAGAAGTCCTGTTCACTGTCAACTACACACAACTAGTTGTTCCCTTAGTAGGACCAGTAGCCTAACAGCTGATATTAACACTGATATAACACAGATATTACCGCTCCAGAGATGTGTGAAAACATTTATTTGGAAACTATGTACATGCTGAGGAAAGTTCTTGTGAGTATATTACGTCCGTTTCAGTTACTTTGTAAGTTGTTATGCAGACTTCACGTTAAATAGAAAAGGTAAATAAACGTTTCCTCGCATGGAGTGGGGCATAAGTTCTAGCCATTCTTTCCTCTGTGTATCAGCCATTACCATCAGTCTTGAGCCTCAAATATGACTTTTAGCGAGTCATGGTACGGCATTTATGATATGTGTATCCATTCTCTTGCAACTAAAGTTCGTTTCAAGGCGTCAATAGCGGTAATCTGACCGGGGTTGCTGTAAATAACGGTAAGTTGTGTGATCGACCGATCACTTCGCATACAATTTCGCCGAAGTTATTGTAACATTATTATAGTTATTGAATGAAATATTGAAAATATATTGCAAACTCTAGTCCAGGTAAACAGTGAAATTTTTTTTTATTACCAGATATTATGATAGGATTAAATTGCGTACTTCAGTTCTGATTTGTTGACTGGTACTTCAGGTGTTACATGATCGCGGTGATCAGCTGATAATGTTGAGTCTAACTTGAGTTTTTAAAAATGTTAGTAAATTTTGGGACCCATGCTTTACCGCGTGCTATAACCGAAGCAAAACACTATATGTAACAACTTTTAATGTGTGTGAAAAGTTATACGAAAATACACTATTTGAAGGGGGCGTGGCCTAAATGCAAATGTCCGATTGGGATTTTAAATTTTCCGGACCCCTGGGATGAAAGTACAGGTGTAATGGCTGATACACCTCAAAGAGTTTGGGTAGAGGTCTGACTTACCACCCATGGCCACTAGGGCTGGGACAAGTCCAAATTTACTACCCAGGTACCCACAGCCCTATTACCTGACCCCCAAGAGATAGGTACAAAATGTCCAATTAGGAATAGTTTGACAGTAGCCCTGGCAAAATGTATTTAGATACACGTACAAAACTATGTGGCCATGCACACACTGACTGAAGTTTTAGCTTCCAGAGTCCAATAAAATCTCATAACGAACTAGACATCCAGATTGTAAACAACATTGATTTCAACATGCAGATTTCGGTCAACTGCAGGATTTGCAAAGCATGTGTACTGCCAACTGGGTAACTGACAGATATTTTGCAAATTCTTTCATGCTTTTAATCAAGTTGCTCACGATCTGATGCACTTCACGGGGTAAGCCCCGTTTTATTACAAAATATATCTTGATCATCGAGCAGATCGGTCTGGACTGGGTGCCGCCATTTTGTTTGAATGTATGATGTATGAGAGATGGAATCTGATTGGTCAATAGGAGGGACATAGAAGTGACATAACTTGTAATAGCCACTGGTGGCGCTATGATAGAGCCTGGAAATTACAACCTAGTTCGGCAAGGGTGGAAACTGGACTTTTATAGTCAGTTAACGCCCTTGCCTCAGGAGGATGCATGTGTGATAGATCCAACATAGAGACGGTCATATCACACCCTCTGTCGGCCTGATATGGCCTGTCAGTGCAATTTGATATCAGCCCAGGTGGTAAGAAATTGGAGTTACGTCCCTTAGGGCATCGTCCAATCATCAGCTTGACTAGCTTTCCTGTGCACGTGGATTTCTGAGAGGCAGAATAAATTCCTTATACCCCGCTTCAAAGCAAAAAGCTGCACGCTTTTTCCGAGTCAATGGAAGTGACATAGCACAAGCTAACCTCAGCTCAATTGAACAGCTGTTGTCTATCAATTTTGAATTTGTTTTAATTCTTTCACGATGTCAAATTAAAACACGTCGGTAAGATAAATTTGTTGCAGTAGGATCACTCGGGCTACACAGGGTTTTACGCGTCCCGCGTTAGATGATCCTGCTACAAATTATGTTAAGGAGCTTGAGGCTATCTTGGACAAAACTAAATACAGATCTCAAAGTGTTACAGACAAAATGTATAAAATGAAGAACAAGAAACTGACAGTGTCATGAAGCTATTCAGAAGAAATTGGTCGCAGTCAGGAAGATGCCGGACCTGGCAGAGATGGCACCCATAGATCAATGTTTAATGAATGGATACATTTTATAATTTGATGTGGTATATGATAAAAAGTTGATTATATGGTAGTTTTCATATGATACCCCATATCAATCCTTGATATGAAAACTGCCGATAAGAACCTCTAAATATCATCTGCGACATCATAAACAACTTCAACATCTTCAAATATTCATCTCAATGCAACATACAGTTGCCCCTTCTCATAAGTTCAAAACAAAGGAACGATAAATGAATGAGTATACATGATATTTCTCTGATACTCATATCCCTAGGGTAATATACTCAGCGACAAAAGAAACGTGTATACCACACATGTTGGTTAATACATGAATTATTACCCATATTCAAGAGGTATTAGATTGTTTCAACTCACAAACGAACATACTGTTATGTTGGGTGAATCAACACTCATGAACGCATCACGAAACCCATCATGATTCAACACCATTTGTCTCATGCAGGATTAAGACCGCCTCCGTATCTATTATATGGTCTCTGGTTTCATACATGTATCTGAACAGTTTTGGGGACCGCCTCCGTGGTCTAGAGGTAGAGCGTCCGCCCGGAGAGCGGAAGGTCCGGGGTTCGATCCCCGACAGCGTCATACCAAAAGACGTTAAAAGATGGTACTTGTTGTTACACTGTCTGGCGCTCGGCATTAAGGGGCTAAAACAAGGACTGGTCGGCTCGGAGTCAGTATACTGTGTCTGAGTGGGGTATTCATGTTAAACTGCGGCATGGTATCTCAGTGAGCTAGCACTATAAATCGGCATCAGTCCGGACTAGTACAAGCAGCCACACACACACACACGTACATGCACGTCGCTATATAAGTGCAATAATCTTGGACGCGACGTTAAACCCCATTTCACCTCATGCAGGATTAGCGTGTAAAGTTTGGGAATCACGTGCAGCATATCGTGATAAGAATAAAGACATTGTGGTAACATTTGACTGATTGTTAGTTATGTCATTAAGGGGCACACATTGGCAACATCCCTTCTTAACGTACATACTTATGTTTCTATGGTTCGCGTTTCTTTTGGTGGTGAGTATATTGTAACCTTGCAGTACTGACCTTGACATTGACCTGACCTCTGAAGATGGTAACGAACTCGGATCCCTGGAGGTTCTCATGGCAGGTCTGGCTCACATGGATTCGACCGGGCTGAAATAAACATGTGGTCATTTCAAAACTGTTGGCCAAAGTTATTCCAATGTTGAAGACAGTGTCATAGCACAACAACCCATTGATGTGGACGGTATTGTACTCAGATTGGTTGTGAGTGAGTGAGTGAGTGAGTGAGTGAGTGAGTGAGTGAGTGAGTGAGTGAGTGAGTGAGTGAGTGAGTGAGTGAGTGAGTGAGTGAGTGAGTGAGTGAGTGAGTGAGTGAGTGAGTGAGTGAGTGAGTGAGTGAGTGAGTGAGTGAGTGAGTGAGTGAGTGAGTGAGTGAGTGAGTGAGTGAGTGAGTGAGTGAGTGAGTGAGTGAGTGAGTGAGTGAGTGAGTGAGTGAGTGAGTGAGTGAGTGAGTGAGTGAGTGAGTGAGTGAGTGAGTGAGTGAGTGAGTGAGTGAGTGAGTGAGTGAGTGAGTGAGTGAGTGAGTGAGTGAGTGAGTGAGTGAGTGAGTGAGTGAGTGAGTGAGTGAGTGAGTGAGTGAGTGAGTGAGTGAGTGAGTGAGTGAGTGAGTGAGTGAGTGAGTGAGTGAGTGAGTGAGTGAGTGAGTGAGTGAGTGAGTGAGTGAGTGAGTGAGTGAGCGAGCAAATACCAAATGTTGACAAGGGCAGATCCAGAATTTTTAATAGGGACAGGGTCCAAAATACCATACTATCAAACCTCTTTCAGTGGGGGATTGTCTACAACAAACTACATTTGGTTTTAAAAAAGGGGGGGAGGTCTGGAGGTGTAACATCTTACTGATCAGTATTCCAGTTATGTCACAGCGCGTCAGCTCTATGTGTGAGGAAAGCCCGAAGTGATGCAGGTCTCAGATAATTATCACTCTGGTCAAACCCACAAGCACTAGTATGGTGCTGCCATGCTAAGACAAATGAATCTGGGATTTGAACCAATAATCTTAGGATCCTGCCATGCCTAAGGGATGCGACTCTTCACTACACATTCCATGCATCTGGGCCACACTGGCCCTCTCTATTCCAGAGGAAGGAACAGGTGAAACAGTCAGGGATAAGTGTTCTTAGGTGTTGCATCCCACTCTGAGAGTTGCATTCCTTAGCCGTGCCAGGATCTGCTAGATAAGGGTTTGTAAAAAAGAGAACAGATTTGTCAAGAAAATATATGATTTTTGGAGGAATCTTTTAGTAGCAAACACAAAAAGTCTGCCTCAATTTGGGCTCTCCCACATGTTGTGTTATAGGTGAAATACTTTTATGTGGAGTTTCATTCAAACTTCGGTCTTGCTGAGCTATTAACTGACATTGTCCTGACACAAAGCACAAGAAACCTACCTGACTGTAGGACTGCATCCGGGAGGCGGTGTTCACAGTGTCCCCAAACAGGCAATACTGTGGTGTCCTCTTCCCCACGATACCAGCCACCACTCCTCCCACATGCATACCTGTACACAAGAACAGACGGAACTCGCATATGGGAACAGAAGGAACTCACACATGGGAACAGAAGGATCTCACACACAGGAACAGAAGGATCTCACACATGGGAACAGAAGGCTCTCACACATGGGAACAGAAGGATCTCACACATGTGAACAGAAGGAGCTCACACATGGGAACACAAGAATCTCACACACAGGAACACAAGAATCTCACACATGGGAACAGAAGGAACTCACACATGGGAACAGAAGGATCTCACACACAGAAACAGAAGGATCTCATGCACAGAAACAGAATGATCTTACACACAGGAACAGAAGGATCTCATGCACAGGAACAGAAGAATATATTGCACAGGAACAGAAGGACCTAACACACATGGGAACAGAAGGATCTCATGCACAGGAACAGAAGGATCTCATGCACAGGATCAGAAGGATCTCACACATGGGAACAGAAGGATCTCACACACAGGAACAGAAGGATCTCATGCACAGGAACAGAAGGACCTAACACACAGGAACAGAAGGATCTCATGCACAGGAACAGAAGGACCTAACACACAGGAACAGAAGGACCTAACACACAGGAACAGAAGGATATCACACACGGGAACAGAAGGATATCACACACGGGAACAGAAGGATCTCACACATGGGAACAGAAGGAACTCACACATGGGAACAGAAGGAACTCACACGGGAACAGAAGGAACTCACACACGGGAACAGAAGGAGCTCACACATGGGAACAGAAGGATCTCATGCACAGGAACAGAAGGAACTCACACATGGGAACAGAAGGATCTCATGCACAGGAACAGAAGGAACTCACACATGGGAACAGAAGGATCTCACAAACAGGAACAGAAGGATCTCATGCACAGGAACAGAAGGACCTAACACACAGGAACAGAAGGAATTCACATGTGGAACCACAGACAGCGGTGTACCATGTTTAGGACAGACCACTTCATTGAATTGTTTTCATGAATATTTTTGGGCAACAAAAGAAGATATATGATGCAAAATATCCAAACATCAAAAGTTCATTTAAAGAGCATCTTCTTTAAGAAATTAATGAAATAGTAGTTTTTTTTACAAATACAAAGAAAACAATGTTAAAAAAGCATACTTTCAATTGAACAAAGATTGTGTTTAATCTATCTATTTTTAGGGTAGGCATGTATGTAAAAGAAGAAAGAATTAATGAATAAATTAGTTGGTTTGGCCTTGCAAACAATTACAGATTTACCAAGGCATCCACAAAAATGAAATTTTATTTGACCAATTTCTAAATGGCATTGTGTGTTAGCTTTCAGACATGGCAGCCATGCCAATTTACACTTGTCAGAGGGGTACACAAAGTACGTGAACTAGACTACCAGTTGTCGGACTTTCATTTTGTGGAAGCCTCGGTGGCTGAGTGGGTTAGATCACTGACTTTGTGTGCTGGCGATTAGGTGCCTCACTGTGGGTTCAAATCCCAGATGGGACTCAACCCAAAAATGTACTAGAATCTGTACTTTACTAAGAAAGTTTTATCCCAAATATAACATTTGTTAAAATTGGCATGTTAGTGCCTGTTTCCTGTACCTATTCTGACTGTAAGGCTGTTCCCTGATAAGGGATCTTTGAGGTATTTGGCGTTGTCCACAAATTCCAGCGCCAGACCAGCTACATGCTGGGTGTGGTCCCTCCGCCTGTCTGGCACCCCCCCTGCCACCATGTACACTGCATCCCCCAGCGTCTCCACCTGTAACACATTCACACACACATGGATAGCAGCTTGGCAATGCTATAAAATAATTCATTTTACAAACTGTCTGACTTGTATAAAAAGCCATTAAAAACTTTTAAAACGGTTAAAACGTAATCAAATTCATTTTTATTTGCCCATTAATTATATCAATAACTACAATGAAAGAAACTTTATTTTAAAATATTATTAAATAATTACAATTATTAAAAAATAATGTCGTTCAGTATTTTTCAATATCCTAACTTATCAAAAAGCACCAGTTCATCATTTGACTGATCTATATAGCAAATTTCATCCAGACATATTCAACGGTTTGGGAATTCTTCTCCCGAAAACCTCACTACCCACGTTTTCAGTACAAATCCAACTTGTCCTCATAAAAACAAAAATAAAATAAAAATAAAAAATCCCAAATCACCAAAAGACACCAGTTCACCGCTAGACTGATCTGTATAGCAAGTTTCAACATGAAATATTCAACGCTTTAGGAGCTCTGCTCCAGAAGCGGAAAACGGATGGACAGATGGCAGACGGACATGTTGATCGCTATGTGCCACCAGTTTTCAAAACGCGGGGATGAAAAAGGGGATTCAGGGCTATGGATCCACCAGTGCCTACCTTAAAGGCTCTATATCTGTCGACGATGTTGTCAAACACGGTGAAGACGTTGTTGATACACTCCACCACCTGGAATGCTGAGGCGTTAGCACAGATATCACTGAACCCAATCAGGTAGCTGAACATGATCGTCACCTTCTCAAACGTCTGAAAAAAACGGGAGACACATCATTCCCACCTCCATTGACCATCATTAGTTCAGAGGTCACATCAGGGGTCACATCAGAGGTCACATCAGGGGTCACATCAGAGGTCACATCAGAGGTCACATCAGAGGTCACATCAGAGGTCATGTCAGAGGTCATGTCAGAGTTCACGTCAGGGGAACATAAGAATCAGCTAAATAGGCGATAAACATACTCTGTTTTCAATGTAGAGCTATGTCACCTGTAGATTTAACCATCTAAAATGAATTTGGAACCAAAAGTGCACCATGATGTTAAATTTAGCACGGTTAAATCTACAGGTAACCTAGCTCTACTTTGAAAACAAAGTATGTTTATCTCCATTCTGCCATTACTAAACAAAACGCTAACCCTTTGGTGTTTGCAAATATATTGAGTGAAGCGGCATGGGTTGAGTCCAGTGATTTGATTGGGTTGTCAATCTGAATTTAGGAATCAACGACAACAGCCAGTAAACAACAATATGGCGCTGTATTGGCTAAGGCAGTTTGTTTACACTGTAATACTTCACTCGAGCATGTAACAGGCATTGAAATTTTATAAGCATATAAGCACGGCAACTTGGTAGGCTAACATGAGGTGGGAACCCCATAGAAAACTAAGCAAGCTTTTCAAAACTTTCGTTCCACACAGCACGTCACCATTATAACATCATATTGCTCGTTGCGACGTAAAAGATACGATGTCACAGTTGTATATATAGACAAGCGCCAAATTCTAAGCTTGCTGATGTCCCCAAAACTTAAAATACATCCTCTTTGTTGATTTCTGTCATGTTTTCTTATAAATGACATTAATGGTGTAAAGTGTTACTAGTTAATACCTAGATGAGTTAGACGCGTATGACAATGAATCACATTGGCTCCAAGAAGAGTGTGTGTTTGTTGTTTATCTCAGCCCTCAGCAATATTCCATCTTCATCATGATAGCATGGAAATAATCAAATCTGGATCACACAGTCCAGTGATTGATATTATGAGCACCGATCCACACCATCAGAAGCCAAGGCTTTCAAGAATGTCACTACATTCCTGGCCCTTGTCTGTCCCTGAAATAATCAAATCTGGATCACACAGTCAAGTGATTGATATTATGAGCACCAATCAACACCATCAGAAGCCAAGGCTATCAAGAATGTCCCTACATTCCTGGCGCTTGCCTGTCCCTACCTCACAGGTCTTGATGGGGTCCTCCCCATGCATCAGGCGAACGGCGATGCTCTCTGGCATCATTGAGTACAGGAGAGCGTTGCTCTTGTGCCGCCACTCGTCAAGCTGTTGGAGGTTCTGAGCTATCTTATGGCTTGTCTCTATTTGCTGAAATTAGAAGTGGTTTGTTCAAAGTTCCTGGTCTACAAGATACTTCAAAGTTCCTGGTTTACAAGACACTCCAAAGTTCCTGGTCTACAAGATACTTCAAAGTTCCTGGTCTACACGATACTTCAAAATTCTTGGTCTACAAGATACTCCACAGTTCTTGGTCTACAAGATACTCCACAGTTTCTGGTCTACAAGATACTTCAAAGTTCCTGGTCTACAACATACTTCAAAGTTCCTGGTCTACAAGACACTCCAAAGTTCCTGGTCTACAAGATACTCCAAAGTTCCTGGTCTTCAAAATACTCAAAAGTTTCTGGTCTACACGATACTTCAAAATTCTTGGTCTACAACATACTCCACAGTTCTTGGTCTACAAGATACTCCACAGTTCTTGGTCTACAAGATATTCCAAAGTTCCTGGTCTACAGGATACTGTAAAATTTCCTGGTCTACAAGATATTCCAAAGTTCCTGGTCTACAAGATATTCCAATGTTCCTGGTCTACAAAATATTCCAAAGTTTCTGGTCTACAAGATACTTCAAAATTCTTGGTCTACAAGATACTCCACAGTTTCTGGTCTACAAGATATTCCAAAGTTCCTGGTCTACAAAATATTCCAAAGTTTCTGGTCTACTGGATACTTCAAAATTCTTGGTCTACAAGATACTTCAAAGTTCCTGGTCTACAAGACACTCCAAAGTTCCTGGTCTACAAGATACTCCAAAGTACCTGGTCTACAAGATACTTCAAAGTTTCTGGTCTACACGATACTTCAAAATTCTTGGTCCACAAGATACTCCACAGTTCTTGGTCTACCAGATACTCTAAAGTTTCTGGTCTACAAGATACTTCAAATTTCCTGGTCTACAAAATACTCAAAAGTTTCTGGTCTACACGATACTTCAAAATTCTTGGTCTACCACATACTCCTCAGTTATTGGTCTACAAGATACTCCACAGTTCTTGGTCTACACAATACTTCAAAATTCTTGGTCTACAAGATATTCCAAAGTTCCTGGTCTACAAAATATTCCAAAGTTTCTGGTCTACTTGATACTTCAAAATTCTTGGTCTACAAGATACTCCACTGTTCTTGGTCTACCAGATATTCCAAAGTTCCTGATCTACAAGGTATTCCAAAGTTCATTGTCTACAAGATATTCCAAAGTTCATGGTCTACAAGATATTCCAAAGTTCCTGGTCTACAAGATACTTCAAAATTCTTGGTCTACAAGATACTCCACAGTTCTTGGTCTACCAGATATTCCAAAGTTCCTGGTCTACAAAATATTCCAAAGTTTCTGGTCTACTGGATACTTCAAAATTCTTGGTCTACAAGATACTCCACAGTTCCTGGTCTACAAGATACTCTAACATACCCGGTCTACAAGATACACCAACATACCCGGTCTACAAGATACACCAACATACCCGGTCTACAAGATACACCAACATACCCGGTCTACAAGATACACCAACATACCTGGTCTACAAGATACACCAACATACCCGGTCTACAAGATACACCAACATACCCGGTCTACAAGATACTCCAGCTGAGATGCATGGTGCCAGCCCGCTAGCACCATATCCTGGCTGTTGTCAAACATGTTCAGATCATTGACATATAACCCCGTTGTCTCCATATCCTCTAAGTTGCCTATTCTGAAACAGAACATCCCTTTATCAACAACAGCAACATGACCTATCACAGCAAGTTGGTGTAACAAAGGGGGGGAAGGGATGGGCCAGTCATCTTGTTAGTGTTGAAAGTTACGAGGATCGTGTTGAGTGAGTGAGTGAGTATGGTTTTACGCCGCTTTTAGCAATATTCCAGCAATATCACGGCGGGGGACACCAGAAATGGGCTTCACCACGCATTGTACCCATGTCGGGAATCGAACCCGGGTTTTCGTCGAGCGAACGCTTTAACCACTAGGCTACCCGACCGCCCCAGGATCGTGTTGAATGTCAACTCACAGCAGTGTGTCAACTCACAGCGGTGTGTCAACTCACAGTGGTGTGTCAACTCATAGTGGTGTGTCAACTCATAGTGGTGTGTCAACTCACAGTGGTGTGCACAGGAAAGCCATGCAGGTCCAGTCCTTCATGTATTTCATCTGTCCCCGAAGTAGTAGACTGGACTTCTGGCTATTCTCGGACAGAGCGGTCAGGCGCTTGTATTGGTCTGACTTCCTCAGCTGCTGTTCAGATTCTACTTCAAATATAACTTTCTGGAGGCACATTATCTGAAGTGGAAAAACAGTGTTTGTAGAAGGAAGAGAAATATCAATATTCTATCAAAGTAATATTAATGACCTATCAAAGACATAGCAATGTTCTAAGAAAGAAATTTCAACGTACTTATCAAAGAAATATCAATATACTATCAAAGCAATAACAATGCACTATCAAAGAAATATCAAAGCACTATCAAAGAAATATAAATGACCTATCAAAGAAATATTAATGACCTATCAAAGAAATATCAATGACCTGTCAAAGAAATATTAATGACCTATCAAAAAAATATTAATGACCTATCAAAGAAATAGCAATGTACTTATCAAAGAAATATCAATGTACTTATCAAAGAAAAATAACATACTATCAAAAAGATATCAATGATCTAATATCAAAGTACTATCAAAGAAATATTAATGACCTATCAAACAAATAGCAAAGTACTATCAAAGAATTATCAATGTACATATCAAAGAAATTTCAACATACTACAAAAAAATATCAATGATATATCAAAGAAATATTAAAGTACTATCAAAGAAATATCAATATACTATCAAAGAGGTGAGGTGGAATGGAGTTTAACGTCGCGTCCAAGATTATTGCACTTATATAGCGACGTGCATGTACGTGTGTGTTTGTGTGGCTACTTGTACTAGTCCGGACTGATGCTGATTTATAGTGCTAGCTCACTGAGATACCATGCCCCGTTTTAACATGAATACCCCACTCAGACACAGTATACTGACTCCGAGCCGACCAGTCCTTGTTTTAGCCCCTTAATGTCGAGCGCCAGACAGTGTAACAACAAGTACCATCTTTTAACGTCTTTTGGTATGACCCGGCCGGGGATCGAACCCCGGACCTTCCGCTCTCCGTGCGGACGCTCTACCACTAGACCACGGAGGCGGTTACTATCAAAGAAATATCAATGTACTTATATAAGAATTATCAATGTACTTATAAAAGAAATTTCAACATACCATAAACAAATATCAATGTACTATCAAAGAATTATTAAAGTACTATCAAAGAAATATCAATGTTCTATCAAAGAAATATCAATGTACTATCAAATAAATATTCATGATCTATCAAAGAAATACAAATGCACAATCAAAGAAATATCAATGTTCTATCAAAGAAATATCAATGTACTATCAAAGAAATATCAATGTACTTATATAAGAAATTTCAACATACTACAAAAAAAATATCAATGATATATCAAAGAAATATTAAAGTACTATCAAAGAAATATCAATGTACTATCAAAGAAATATCAATGACCTATTAAAGAAATATCAATGTACTATCAAAGAAATATCAATGACCTATCAAAGAAAAATCAATGACCTATCAAAGAAATATCAATTTATTATCACAGAAATGTCTATGTTCTATCAAATTATTATCAATAATCATGAATCCATGCACTATTTGCAAATTTGCCATTGATCTACCACTGTCACTAATAATGACAGTTTTCCTTCATAAACAAAATTCGCAAAAGAAAGATCTGATGTGCAGGTTGTGTGAGAAATTTTCCAAAGCTTGTATCCCTGCATTGGTCAGCTACATCAACTGCACACGATGTATCTACAAGGGGAGTCTGACAGGTCTCAGGATTGATGAGTCATCTCAAACTCAAGGATACCCATCAGCCCTGGTTTACTGAGTGAACTCAGCACCATCTCATTAAAGCAGATCACTTACTCTGACATGATACCAGCTTGCGTGAAGACCTCATGACAAGTAGGTCACGTCAGGTAACCTTTCAAATTAGCCAATCAGTGTCAGTTTCTAAATTGTTATCAGTACGAATAAGGAAAGCATTCAGACCATCATATCTGATTTCAACATCTCCAAAACTTTAATTACCAGGGCCCGTTCCTCAAAGCGATCTTAGCACTAAGATGATTGTAAGTCCCATACATTAACATAGGCTTACGATCATCGTAGTGCTAAGATCGCTTTGAGGAACGGGGCCCTGGTAATTAAAGTTTTTGAGATGTTCTGAGCATAAATTAAAATTAAACATTAATTAAATTAAAAATTTGTTTAGCACAATTTCCAATTAACAACTGCTCAAATACACTTAAGATCATGATTGATCTTGTCATAGGCTTTCTTAAAGAAACAGGTTTTGAGTGTCTTTTTAAAGTTTGTCAGATTTTCTGTTTCTTGGATTTCTTGTGGCAGATTGTTCCATAGCAATGGGCAGCATGTTGACATGATCGACCTATCGCCATATGTTTTGGTACGTGACTTTGGCACCACTTGCAGATGGTCTTTTGATCGGAGATCATGCATATTGTTGTGAATATTATACACCCTTTATTTCTGAGCCAGGGCATCTACATCCATATGAGAATACCATCAAAGGAATATTTGTGTTCTCTGTACGTTTCCAAAATCACATCCAAATTTTCGAATCAAGCTGGTCAAAAAGTGCAACGAATCATTTTAGAAAGCTGATACTAGATTGGGCCACACATCCTTCATTTTATCTCAAGTTAGCTAAGAGTTCACCTGATACTGTGACAGGGTTATCAATTCTTCACACAGAGAGGCATCGTATCGGAGTGAAAGATCTGATTTAGATGTGGATTGCACTCACATTTTCCCAGGTAAAGTCAACCAATGGTCTGCGTAGCCCGAACTTCTCTGAGATCTTGCAGCCAATGAGAGTCCTATTCTGGAAGATGCTGGTCAGGTTCGGTCCCATGTAACGGATCAGCATCGAGCTGTCGAACACGAGGCAGAATGGAAAGAGCTGAAAAAGGCCAAAGTATAAAACAATAATATCATTGCAAACATTTGAAATAAAAGCGACAAAATCCTTTCCATATTCCAAAGAAATCTCTATGATTCTGACTATATCATGAGCATGTGTTTATGAACTACTGTTAAAAAGTATGCATACAGAGAAATGCTAAAAGGGTGAATGTGTCCTGCCCCACTGGTTGCACCCATCGCAAACACATGCAAAGTCAGGTCAACTTTAACCAAAACAAACACAGGGAATATATGATACAAGTCAAAATATGGAACTGCATCTGACATCCTTTTTGTCAAAGTTGGAAATGTCCTCAACATGCCTACCATAAAACTTTTTGAAAGCTCTATTAAAAAAATAGTGGGATTCATTGGATTTATTCATCAAACATAATGTCTTTTGTTCTCACAATCTTAAGGATTAACCTTTACTGGTATAATGAGATATGCAACATACTTTTTGTGATGTTATGCACATATTTAAAGGGGTGATATAACATCTTTGTATTCTTGTTAAAACAAATTATCACACATCCATGAACAAATTATATTTATATTCAGAAAAATTTAAAACTACTTATGAACAATCTATGCACAGGTTTAAAACCCAGCTAGAGATCTGGGGACCACACACCATAAATTGTTCTCTGACAATTCTATACTGCATTACAAAACAATCCTCAGCTTTATATTATAATAATTCTGGATTTCAAAATGGCTGAAACACTAGTAAAATCTCACACCCATGCTATCAATCTGACAAGATCTTATCATACTGATAGCCTCCTGTATTGCCATGTTTGAGCACAGTAAGTATGGTTTTATGCCGCTTTTAGCAATATTCCAGCAATATCACGGTGGGGGACACCAGAAATGGGCTTCACACATTGTACCCATGTCAGGAATCTAACCCGGGTCTTCTGCGTGACGAGCGAACGATTCAACCAATAGGCTACCCGACCGCCCCTGTTTGAGCAAAGGCCAATACCGTCGTCCAATGGGTGGTCAATAGCTTGGTCAGCTGGCTTACACTTATATATGATAAAATACTGTAAAGAATACTATTTATAGTGGGTAGGGAATACCTATTTCGTTATACCTTATTGGCTCTTTAATTTGCCATGGTTCGATATTTCACGTCACAAACTAGCTGTGATATATTGCTGTAAATCTTGATATTAACGCGAGCGTGAATTAAATGCGAAAAATACGAGTGGTCTTCGTTCGCATTATTAAACATCGCATTTATATAAAAAATAAGACATTTTGGATAGGAGAAATACCAACTTAGACATACGCTGAAAACAAACAGCTATGTATTCCACATCACTGATTTCTTTAGCAGCACTTGTAGTAAGTATATAAACATTGTCATTCAAACACTAATTACATCCTGTGAATTGTCACTGCTGGGGTCAAGACAAGCGTTCTACTCACTTATGTCATCACTGATCACACCTGCAAGTCCCTACAGACGCCACCCCACGCAACACGGCGTCTTTGTTCTTTGCGACTGCATCAAAGGCCGACACGAGCCAGCGCGCACGTATTGTTTTAGCGGAAGTACACTACTCAGCGCTAATAAGCGGTGCTATTTGGTGTGTGATTGGATTAATGTAAGGATGGATTACGGTGTGGATTCTTCTGTAAACCTGACAGAAGTCATTTTCTTTATACATAAATCCACTGATGCTTGAGAGGAGGTGGGTTTCGCAATCATAATGAGTCGCATTTTTAGCTAGGGGCCAGTGGTTGCATTCTTTTGGAGATGCATTAGTTTCATGATTTACAGTATTTCTCAACATTCCTGTTATCATGAGTTTGCAAATAAATTACACGTTTATGTGAAATGTCTTTTTTCTCACTCGTGAATTATTATATTCATTATACTTTTTATGTCGAACCCGTGAATATGATGTAGTAAATAAAGGGGACCGTTTCCTAAAAATATCAAGAAATGCCCGAGATGGTCCATCTGACAAGTTGTCACCAAGTTTATATGTTACAATAACATAAGATGCAGTCCTAGCTGATAGATGTAAAAACATAAACTTGATAATGATATGGTCCCTATCAGATTCATCACAGACGTACACAGATATCTTTCAACGTCTTTGGATTGATAAGTAAGAATTATTTTTTCCTTATCTCTATGAAATATGAACTTATTTACGCAATAATTATCCGTGATTGTGAAATGGGTGGAACAACTACCTGTGATCTGTGAAAAGGTGGTCTGAATTACCTGTGAATAGTTATTGGGCATACACATTCCCTACCCTCTACAGAGACTGGAAACTATTGTGCTTTGTGATACTTGTATATTTAACCATGACAGGCCTTAAACAACAAACCGTTGACTTCACAAGCCATACAGTTTTAATGAAATCGTGCAAACTGCATTCGTGACCAACTCGTGGCCATTTTTGCGACCATGTTCCATCTTAGTGCAAACAGGCATATCTAAAACAATTGTCAACTCGTTGCCTAATGGTTAACATATACATGTATTTCCCCATATATTACATATATTCCAGGTGCAATTTAAAGCACATCGGGACATGCGGAATTAAAGAGTATGACTGAACACATTTAACTGTGTCTTGGGTATATTTGTTAGATGCAAGACATATGTAAAATCAAAAATTAATTCTGAGGGATTCTTTGACGAAGAACTTGAAATCATGCGCGCATTCTGATTGGTTTGTCGTATTTTCACACATAACATTCATCGATAGGGGAACGAGGTTACGGAAAGGGGCGAGTGGTTACGAATGGTGCAAACTGCTTCGAAAGTGAATGTGCAATCTGCTGTGTATAGTTTGTGGAATTTGAGTCTTTGCCTGTGATCAGAAATAGATAAAGAACTAAAGAAAGTATTTTATAAGGATATATAAGATAGCTATGCAATAAATCGCAAAAAATTATGAAGAACGAAGTGTGGTTTATTTCACGATAAAAAATTGTTCTATCATGACGTCATTTCTCATGATTCAAACATATGTTCACAACTTGATGACGGTATAAATTGGACAACGTTATTTTTTAGAGGGAAGTGTGTTGTAAGTTGTTCCCTATAGATGTAACTTGGCTACCCCGATAAATGCAATGGCCGAACGATCGCTTAAAAAAATTGAGAGAGATATGAGTGAGTGAGTATGGTTTTATGCCGCTTTTAGCAATATTCCAGCAAAATCACTGCGGGGCGCACCAGAAATGGGCTTCACACATTGTACCCATGTCCGGATTTGAAGCCGGGTCTTCAGCGTGATGAGCAAATGCTATAACCACTAGGCTACCCGACCGCCCCGAGAGAGATATAGGAGAAAAAGTAAATATAATCGACGTGAAAATTGTGAGAATATGTGGGAAAGACCAAACCCTGTTCATAAAATGGACTTGTCTGACATTGCCGCATTCGGTTTCTATTCAGGGAGTCATAATTATATAAATATGGGTAAATATTTTAAAGCATGTACTTTTTACTAACGACCGCCTCCGTGGTCTTGTGGTAGAGCGTCCGCCTGGAGAGCGGAAGGTCCAGGGTTCGATCCCGAGCCGCGTCATACAAAAAGACGTTAAAAGATTGTATTTGTTGTTACCCTGTCTGGCGCTCGACATTAAGGGGCTAAAACAAGGACTGGTCGGCTCGGAGTCAGTATACTGTGTCTGAGTGGGGTATTCATGTTAAACTGCGGCATGGTATCTCAGTGAGCTAGCACTATAAATCGGCATCAGTCCGGACTAGTACAAGCAGCCACACACACACATACACGTGCATGCACGTCGCTATATAAGTGCAATAATCTTGGACTCGACGTTAAACCCAATTTCACCTCACCTCACCTTTTTACTAACATCCTTGAAGAGCCTGTACATTATATTGATATCTCATATAAGAAATAAATAACTCGTGGTCATCGTTCATTGTACATTGAAACACTCCACAACCCCCACTCGTCGTTTATTTCTTAAATAAACATACCATCCCACACCAGAAGGCTCGACTTCGCCTAACACTTTGTTCTCGTGACAGTAGATTATATCACAATAATGTATTGGTACCGGTCCTCTATCTATTACTTGTATATAAAACAGATAAATCTATTTCCATTAACATATTAATAAGATATAGGATTGATACACTGACACTCAATATCCCCCCTGTGATAATGACTGTATATAGTCACACTGCTGTTGCAGCCCTGCCTTTGTTAGTGTGATGCTGATAACTGACAGACTGACAAAGTTAATTACCCTGTATACAGTGTATGTATGAATCAGGCTCATATACCACTGCGGTCAGACAGGTTGAGATGGTCACACAGATCCACACTGTTGGTATTGGAAATAGGATATCACTGACAGACTGTAGGCCACTGGGTCGACAAATGTGGGGCAGTAAGGTGTTTAGTTTGATAGTTAATACAAATACAAAATACTAATTGCTATACACATTATACAGCTGATCCATATAGCTGGCAACTGTAGGCTACTGGGTTGACAAATGTGGGGCATGCAGTTAGGTGTTTAGTTTGATAGTTAATACAAATACAAAATACTAATTGCTATACGCATTAAACAGCTGATCCATATAGCTAGCAAATGTAGGCCACTGGGTCGACAAATGAGGGGCAGTAAGGTGTTTAGTTTGATAGTTAATTCAAATACAAAATACTAATTGCAATACGCACTAAACAGCTGATCCATATAGCTGGCAACTGTAGGCTACTGGGTTGACAAATGTGGGGCAGTAAGGTGTTTAGTTTGATAGTTAATACAAATACAAAATACTAATTGCAATACACATTAAACAGCTGATCCATATAGCTGGCAACTGTAGGCTACTGGGTTGACAAATGAGGGGCAGTAAGGTGTTTAGTTTGATAGTTAATACAAATACAAAATACTAATTAGCTATAAGCACTAAACAGCTGATCCATATAGCTGGCCACTGTAGGCTACTGGGTCGACAAAAGTACTGCAATAAGGTGTTTA